AGGTTTCGAGGCCGACTGTCACCTAGCCTCGCTTTGCACCGGACTGTCACTCCAGCCAATTCTAAGTAAAAGCTTAAATATTCCCTTCCTGCCTTGGACTGACAGATTGGAGGTTCTAGGCACCGTGACAGCAAAAAATACGCACCACTTGCCAACGAATTGGGTATTCGTGGATGTCGCTCCAATGAATTTCCAGAAGTAGAGCTTTCAAAAGGAAATGTCATTTTTAACATTTTTTTTATTGTAAATTCCCAATTTGTCACAGCAAAGTAATAAAATATATTGTTTTTTAAATCCTCTGGTACTGGAGGGAGATCTGCTCCCAATCTCTTTCTGACCAGAGAGAACTGGTCTGCAGCCGGGAAGGAAAAAAAGAAAAAGAAAAAAGTGCTTCATTTGACATTTTTTTCCTGTGTCATTCCGCCACGGCTCTGCTGAGAAGCAAATAATTTGCATAGTAAGAAGTGTGTTTGCAGACTTCGCACAGATCGTCATGTGCTGTTTACGGCTTCTGCTACCAAAAACGGGATGAAAGGGATGAAAGGATCCTGAATTCTCAAGCTGAAGTACACAGAAATTAGTTTAAAGGGGAACTCTAACTTTTGTTCATTGAAAATCCATATTGAGTTATCATTTTCCTGAAAATATAATTTCAAGTACAACTAAAAGCAAAACTTTTATTTTTTATTTTTTTTTTTTAGATTTGGATACAGTGGGGAGGGATTAGAACCTCTGTCAGGTTTTTACTGCTGTCTGTGCTCCCGTTAGGGAGATTCACCCTCTCTATTTGTACTGTTTTAAAGCAGCCACAGTCTAAGCAGAAAAGCCTGTCCCCTGCCAGCATGCTGCAGATGCAGAGAAGGACCCTTATCCCTGTGTGGTAGGTGTGCATACAACAGTTACCTCTTTTGAAAAGTATCTCACTGCCTGATTATGGCTGCACCTTCAAAATCACTGCTTGAGTTGATGGTGGCTGCCAGGCCTGGACAGGTCATAGGGTACACCGGGCATTTGCCCACTAGGCCAGGGCCGCCTGGATAGGAGGGGGCGTTAAGGAGATTCACCCTCTCTATTTGTACTGTTTTAAAGCAACCACAGAAGTAGAAAAGCCTGTCCCCTGCCAGCATGCTGCAGATGCAGAGAAGGACCTTTACCCCTGTGAGGAAGATGTGCATACAACAGTTACCTCTTTTGAAAAGTATCTCAGTGCCTGATTATGGCTGCACCTTCAAAATCACTACTTCAATTGATAGCGGATACCAGGCCAGGACTGGCCAAAGGGCACACCGGGCATTTGCCCAGTGGGCCAGGGCCACCTGGATAGCAGGGGCGGAATATAGATTAACCGATCCCTCCATTTCTCTCCTGCATCCATTGAATGTTCGCTTCTCCTCCTTACTCTCCTGCAGGCATTCAGCGATTGCAGGAGAGAAATGGACAGATTGGTTTCTCTATATGCCACCCCTCCTATCCACCTCCTGCTGCCCCGGGCTCCTGTGTATTCCCTTGGCGGCTGGCTCACCCCTCATCCCCCATAGTGCTGCTGGGTTCCTCCCTCTCCTCTCTTGCCAGCTGCTGCAGGGGATCTGTCAGGATGGATAGCGGGGATGGGGGCAGTAAATATGTTATTTACCGGCCCCTTCCTTGTCTGATTGGACAATCAGTGATCGGTACCAATCACTGACTTTGTCCATTCATAACTGAGGCATAGTAAACTATTTACTATGCTTCAGTTTATGAATGAAGGGGAAACTCTGTCCTGAGCCATTCCTGTCCATTCATTCTGTGCTGCTGAGGCTGCAGAGATGGAGATTGAGGGCTGTGTCCTCAATCTCCTTTCTCTGTCTCAAAGGTGAGATGTCAGGGGTCTGTTTAGACTCCTAATATCTCATCAAAGCCCCCCAAAGCTCCTAAAAAAATTGAAAACATAAAAAAAATAAAATTGTAAACAAAATAAATAAATAAAATGGTAAAAAATAATAAAACTATAATAAAAAACTACAGACAACAGTGGTGGCAATTACCAGGGTCAGAAAGGTTGCACCTGTGACTAAGCCCTGGTGTTCCACCACCGCAGTCCAAGGATAGGGCCCCCAGGCTTGAAGTTGCTCAGTCTAAAATGTCCGGGTCTATTTTTGTCCCAGTCTATCACTCTTCTTCCAGCTGGCTGCGGCTATCATACGGGGAAGTTAAACTGATGCTTAGCTGCTACTATTGTTTTACCTTAAGGTGGATCTGTTCTTAACTAAAACGTTAGTAAGGGAACAACAGTGTTGGGGTGTCTAGGTGAACCCCTTTCCTGCCCCCTCTCAGCAGTTCTTTACTTGGGTCCTAATGCCAGAAGGGTGGGTGGACTTCTCCAATACGTGATCACTATAATGTGCCGTCAAGGTGCTCACATGGTTGGGAGCCCGTCCCCTCATTGCCCGATCATAAAAAGAGACCAGGAGCTGTCAGCGATAGTGAGCACACCCTCAGCACAGAAATGAGAGTTTCCTGAAAATGACCAGCCTGAATATGTATCTTGCCCTAGCCAATCCCTGGAGAGGAGTGTCCAGAAGGTGGCTGGAGAGGTGATAAATGAACTGGAGCCCTGGAGAGATCATTCTTTCCTTGGCAGTTCCAAAGCCTCTGGTTCTGTTGCCCCCTGAGGCAGCCTGTGGACCGCGTAGCTGTTCTTTTAAGTCTCGGAGATGGCAGAGTTGAGGACCTGAAGCAATCTTTTTGAAGAGCTGGCTGAAGGACTTCACCATAAGGGATCAGGTCTGGAGAAGGATTGTCTCCCTCACTGGGTTGTTTCCAGAGGAAAGGTGTGCAGCTGTCCTGGGGACTTGTGAGTACTGACCCTGAATTGTGATCCCTGGTGACTTTATGTTTTGGGATCTAAGTGCCAGAAGTAGCTGTGGACTGAGACAACTCTCATAGAGTCTTAGAGTACTGGCCATTCCCCTGACCTAAGTAGAATCTGTGTGTGAGCCTAGAGAAGTGTTCCCACGTGTGTTACTGTGCAGAGCGAGTATCCCATGCCCTAACCTTTCTCCTGTTCTTCCGGTGATACATTTCGAAAAGACATCCCTTAGACTGAGTTATTTTAGCTTGAGTGCATGGACTGGTGCTTGTATTGGTGGGCAGCCTCTGTACTATTAGCGAAGAACCAGCTATGACCAGCAGCCCCTTTGGGGTAGCGCTACAAACATATGCGTAGGTAGTGTGTTTTTGTAACATCCCAAGTATTTATTACCTCTCACAAAGATTCAAGTGCTCCCGCTGACTGTGCTTTCATCTGCTTTTCTCTCTGACACGGTCTTTGGAAGGTGGAAATGTGCTTTTAAGTAGAACAAAAGGCAAACTTTTTTTTTCATCTTGGATAGAGTAGGGGGGAGGGGTTATAACAACTGTCAGTCTTTTTTTATTAATGGCATCTGTGGTGATGGGCCGCACACCCCCTTGTTCGTTTCGCGGTCAAACATTCAAACAACGAACCACAAACTTCAAACAGGGACAATTCACTAAGCGGTATCTTAACAAAGTATGCTATAAGACACCGCACAGCTACTAAAATACTGCATGAGTTATATTATTAAGTCATGTGGTATTTTAGTAGTGAAAACATTCTTTAATGTTTCAGCAGTCAGAGGGGTTTCCCACCGATAGATGAATGTAAAAAGAATTGCCGGCATTGCCCAGCAATTAAAACATTTAAAAAAAACCCATGGGGTCTCCCCCATCCATACCAAACCCTTTGGGTCTGATATGGATTTTGAGGGGAACCCTCATGCCAAAATTTTCAAAAATGGCATGGATGCAAACCCCCCCCCCCCCCCCCCCGAACCATACCAGGCCACATGCCTTCAACATGGGTGGTTGCTTTGGGGCAGGGGGGCTCCCCCCAAACACTTTGTCCCCATGTTGATGGGGACGAGGGCCTCTTCCCCATAACCGTGGCAGGTGGATGTGGGGGTCTGCAGGCGGGGGGCTTATTGGAATCTGGAAACCTCTTTAACAAGGGGAGCCCCCCATGTGTATGAGTATGAGGTACATGATACTGTTACTCATTCACAAAAAAAAAGAGTGTAGTATAAAAACTTACAGAAGCCAGTCTTTGACAAGACTTTTATTAAAAAAAAAAAAAAAAAATGTCCCCCAAAGTAGATCCAACATCAATCACAATCGCTGCCACTATCAACCTGAAAAAAAAAACGCAACCTTCTCAACGCTGGACTCTCTGACAACTTTGCCAGGATGGCAGTTCCTAAATACTTTGATCACAAGGGGTGTCATCATCATGCGCTGTGATTGGCAAAAGCATTGCACCTGACCTGTGGTCAGGTGCATTGCTTTGGGCAATCACAATACACTGTCAGGGTGTAGCGCATTGTGGGGCGCGGCAGGCAAATAGCCCACCAAACACATTCATAAAGATCACAGGCCCAGCAATAGCAAACAATGCCAAGCTGCAGCAAGCAAAACTAGCAGACTATTAGTGTGCATTAAAAATGGTATCTATTCAGCGAGAATCACCATAGCTAGACATTGGAAGCAATCGGCTATTCCACTTAATTATGTTAAAAAGAAACTAAACTGGATTATGGTCAATGACAAGCTCACATGTATCCTGCAAAATACTTCGAAGAAATTTGATAGAGTATGGAATCTGAAGATTCGATATATACCTGTGCCTTAATGTCTCCTATCCTGACCCTCTCTTCTAATTTTTTCTTTGCTTTCTCTTTTCTTTTCCTCTGTTTTGTATTGCTTTGTTTTATATATTGACGAGGCAAAAATCTCCTGCTCTCGTCTTAGTGGTACTAAGCGTTTTTTCTTACACTGTCAGTTGTTCATGGTACAATTTGTTGTTTCTAGTGCCTTACATGTATGATGGTATACTATTTGCTGGTACTGCCTGTTATCGTTGTTGTAAACACTAATAAAAAACCAGTGGAAAATAAAAATGATATCTATTCAAGAGATAACTCTATTGTATAATTCTACCACTTTACAAGACTCTGGTCCAGCCGCATCTTGAGCATGCCATCCAGTTCTAGACACCAGTCCTCAGGAAGGATGTGCTGGAACTGGAGAGAGTCCAGCGAAGGGCAACAAAACTAACAAGGGGGCTAGAGCAGGGGCGGACTGACCACTTGGAAACTCGGGCACTGCCCGAGGGCCCGGGGTCAGTAGGGGGTGCCATGAGATGCCCCTGGTACCTTTTTCATAGGCTTTTTTGAGTTTGGGCAAGGACACAGGGGCCTCATGATCTCCTATTGCCCGGGGGCCCCATGAGTTGTGAGTCCACCCCTGGGCTGGAGTATCTCAGATACAAGGAATGACTACAAGCATTAAACTGAAACGTTTGAGAGGAGATGTGAAGGTGATATACAAATCTAAATGGGGATTCTAGCATAGGGAAGAAAACTATTCAGTAAGAGGAGCTTAAGACACATGGCCACTCAATGAAGTTGGTGAAGAAGCAGTGTAACCTTAAATTGCATAAGGGGTTCTTTACTGGCAGAGCGGTAAGGATGTGGAATCCCTTCCACAATCAGTGGTGTCAGCAGGAAGCAGGGGCAGACTGACCATTCGAGCATGTGGGCACTGCCTGTGGGCCCGGGGTCAGTATGGGGCCCCATGAGATGCCCTGGTACCTTTTATAGGCTTTTTTGGGTGTGGTTTGAGTGTGGGCGAGGACACAGGGGTCCCATGATCCCCAATTGCCTGGGGGACCCATGAGTAGTCAGTCCACCACTGGCAGGAAGTGTCGATAATTAAGAAAAAATTTTTTTAGATGGGAATCTTAAGTAACACAAAATACAGGGATCACCAGGACAAATAGAGAGTGTGAATCTCCCTAATGGGGGCACATCAGGGGCGGACTGACAACTCATGGGGCCCCCGGGCAATAGGAGATCATGGGGCCCCTGTGTCCTTGCCCACACTCAAACCACACCCAAAACAGCCTATGAAAGGTACCAGGGACATCTCAAGGGGCCCCTACTGACCCTGGGCCCTCGGGCAGTGCCTGAGTTCTTCAATGATCAGTCCGCCCCTGGGGCACATACAACAATAAAACCTGGCAAGAATTCTAACCCCTCTCCACTCGATCCAAAACTAAAAAATAAATGTCTTTAGTGACACTTTAAAGAGATTTAGCTATTTCTTCATTGTCACAAGAGATGGCGCTCTTTCTATTGCTGCCAGCCTCTCGGAATATGATAATGCAGGAAGAATATACACCGATCTCCTTTACTGCAAAAAAAGAGATAAAATAAATGCTTTATGGCGCTGCTGTGTGTTTTCCCATTTAACAGCTGCCATGTACGTCCCGGGGTCTAAAAACCGGCTGGTCGCTATGAAAATCCACCCTGTGATAGATTTGGAGGAGATGTTCCTGCAGAACTTCTATAAATCAAACCGCCGCCTGGTCGTGTCATTCCGAATTTCTGTGCGATTAGCCGAAAATAACTTCATTGTAGTGAAAAGGCGGATCGATAATTGGGGAAGGGGTAGCAGCCAGTTCCACCTTTCCTTATCTCCAAGAGAGAATGGCTTTCAAGATTTTGACAGCTACCCATTTGAAATGAGGTTAGCAAAGCCAGTGGGAGATGTAAGTGATGGCTAATTTGGGAAAGGGAGACCGGCTGAGCTGCCTTCGCAAAAAATCCATGCGTCAATCCATTTAAACAGGAAGGGTTTAATGCAGTTTTGGAAATCCTATATTACTCGGGGCTTTGATAGCGGGTCGTTGGAAATCGGGTGCTCCTCTTTATCAGCACACCGTCCTGTAGAAGTTTGATTAAACACAATCTGTCATGATCAGTCAGGTTGATAGGAGTTATCTTTTTTTTTTTTTCCAATTACTTACTTTGCCAAAAATATATCTGTTTTCAGAACTACTGCTTTCTGTTCAGACCGCAGGTCAGGCTCTCAGCTAAGAGCCAGTCCGGTAATGTGGATTCCCTCCATGGACATTGCAAGCAACGCTTAGCAGAGTGTGTCCTATGGACCCATTCACACTTGTTCGTTGCCACAATCCATGGCAATGCACCAGCTCTATGTGCCATTCATTGTGAATTGTACAAAAGAGCTCAATGCACCGCAGCGCACAGCAACACTATACAGAAGAGCTCAATGCACCGCAGCGCACAGCAACACTGTACGGAAGAGCTCAATGCACTGCAGTGCACAGCAACACCTTACAGAAGAGCTCAATGCACCGCAGCACACAGCAACACCGTACAGAAGAGCTCAATGCACCACAGCGCACAACAACACCGTACAGAAGAGTTCAATGCACCGCAGGGCACAACTACACTGTACAGAAGAGTTCAATGCACTGCACCGCAGCGCACAACTACACTGTACAGAAGAGGTCAATGCAATGCACCACGGCGCACAGCAACACCGTACAGAAGAGCTCAATGCAACGCAGCGCACAGCAACACCGTACAGAAGAGCTCAATGCATCACAGTGCACAGCAACACCGTACAGAAGAGCTCAATGCAACGCAGCGCACAGCAACACCGTACAGAAGAGCTCAATGCATCACAGTGCACAGCAACACCGTACAGAAGAGCTCAATGCAATGCAGCGCACAGCAACACCGTACAAAAGAGTTCAATGCACCGCAGTGCACAGCAACACAGTACAGAAGAGCTCAATGCACTGCAGCGCACAGCAACACATACCATGCTGGTATGAATTAAAAGGCTGCGCTCACCCTATATGCTGTGTGAAAAATACTTATCTTACCTTGCAAAACTTTACACCAACTAGGAGCGGACTGACCATTTGGAAACTTGGGCACTGCCCGAGGGCCCGGGGTCAGTAGGGGGCCCCATGAGATGCCCCTGTACAAAAGAGTTCAATGCACCGCAGCGCACAGCAACACAGTACAGAAGAGGTAAATGCAATGCAGTGCACAGCAACACGGTACAGAAGAGCTCAATGCACCGCAGCACACAGCAACACCGTACAGAAGAGCTCAATGCAACTCAGCGCACAGCAACACCATGCAGAAGAGCTCAATGCATTGCAGCGCACAACAACACCATACAGAAGAGCTCAATGCAATGCAGCGCACAGCAACACCGTACAGAAGAGCTCAATGCATCGCAGTGCACAGCAACACTGTACAGAAGAGGTCCATGCAACGCAGCGCACAGCAACACCGTACAGAAGAGTTCAATGCACCGCAGCGCACCGCAACAACGTACAGAAGAGCTCAATGCACTGCAGCACACAGCAACACATACCATGCTGGTATGAATTAAAAGGCTGCGCTCACCCTATATGCTGTGTGAAAAATACTTATCTTACCTGGCAAAACTTTACACCAACTAGGAGCGGACTGACCATTTGGAAACTTGGGCACTGCCCGAGGGCCCGGGGTCAGTAGGGGGCCCCATGAGATGCCCCTGGTACCTTTTTCATAGGCTTTTTTGAGTTTGGGCAAGGACACAGGGGCCCCATGATCCCCTATTGCCCGGGGGACCCATGAGTTGTCAGTCCACCCCTGAGTCACCAACATTAGACATTACAATCCAATAAATCAGTTCAAAGTCCTTTAAGGGCTCATGTACACTGCAGCTGCTAAACTGACGTTCAGGGGCTGTTAAGCATTTTTTTCAGCAGTCCCTGAACTCTCCCTAATATTTTCCTATGTGTCCATGTACACATCATCGTTTACATTCGTTTACAGGCAGTTGAGTGGAACGCACCAAACTTGCCTTTCCGGAGTAGATTTTATTGGCGTTTCAAACGCAAAACGCTTGTAAACACGAGTAAACGTGGCTGACCGCGTTTAGAAACGGTTGCGTTTAGAAGCGTTTTTTTAACTGTTCCATATCCAAATCCTGTCCAGAGCCTTTTTTCATCATCAGAATGCATGCAAAGCGTTTTCAATGTGTTCAAATGGACGCGGTACACCAGCGCAGTCAGTTCCAGGTTTTGCGTGAAGAAAAAAATAGTACAAAGTGCTGCATTATGCTCATGATGGGATCCATAGTGAATACAACCAGAAAAGACAGGTCATCTCAACACATACTGCTCTCTCTGCTTCTGCTCTCTCTATTTCTCTCCAAATTTCTGAAATAGTTAATTTTTTACTGTTTTTCAGTGTATTCTGGGCATTTTGGAAGGTCTCATGAGGTTATCTTTAAAAAACGCTTCTAAATGCAAATGCACATAAACGCGCATAAACACGGTATCCAAACGCGGCTAAACAGATGTTTTTTAACCTACGTTTTCCAGCAGTCAGTTTCCATCATTCAGAAGTGTTTTCCAAACGTCCCGTGTTCATGAGCCCTAAGGTGCTATCAGGCCTCATGTACACTGCTGCTCCTAAACGAGAGTTTAGGAGCTTTTGGCGTTTTTTCTGGCAAAGCCCCTGAACTTAACTCAATAAAATCCTATGTGTCCATGTACACATAAGGGCTCATGTACACAGGGCATTTGGAAAACTCCTCTGAATGATGGAATCTGACTGCTGGAAAACGTAGGTTAAAAAAATCTCACTTTAGCCGGGTTTATGCACGTTTGCGTTTAGAAGAGAAGATAACCTCAGGAGATGTTCCCAAATGCCCAGATAGCACTGAAAAATAGTAAATAATTAACTATTTCAGACATTTTGAGAGAAAGAGAGAGAGCAGAAGCAGAGAGAGAGAGCAGTATGTGTTGAAATGACCTGTCTTTTCTGGTTGTATTCACTATGGATCCCATCATGAGCATAATGCGGCACGTTCTACCATTTTTTCCTTCAAACGAAACCTGGAACTGACTGCGGCTGGTGTACCGGGTCCATTTGAATACATGGAAAAACACTTTGATGCATTTCTGATGATGAAAAAAAAAAGCTCTGGACAGCACCTGGATATGGAACAGTTAAAAAATGCTGCTTCTAAACGTAAACGCTTATAAACGCGGATAACCGGGTTTACAAGCGTTTACAAGCATTTACACACATTTACAAGCATTCAGCGTTTTAAACACCGGTAAAATCTACTTTGCAAGTTTGGTGAGTTCAAAAAAACGACTGTAAACTCAACTGCCTGTAAACGAAGATGTGTACATGGACACATAGGAGAACATTAGGGAGAGTTCAGGGGCTGCTGAAAAAAAACGCTCAACAGCTCCTGAACGTCAGTTCAGCAGCTGCAGTGTACATGAGCCCTAAACTTTTATCAGAGTTTAGGAGCACCAGAGTTTAGGGGCAGTTAAACGTTCCTCTTCTCAATGCAGAATAATTGCCTTCAGGAGAGGATCGTTTTGGTCAAAAAACGCTAAACGCAAAAATGCGTTTTAAACGCGTGTAAGCGTGGCTAAACGCTAGTCACGTTTACTGCTTGAGCGTTTTTCCGTGTCGATGGAAAATACTCTGGCCAATCAAATGAATAAACATCCAAGTGCTAAACGCGGATAAAAGTGGGTAAACACTGTACCGCGTAAATCCCCCCCCCCCCCCAAAGTGATTAGTGCTCCATGAAAACTGCACTTACAGCTACTCCAATCCATGCAGGGGTGGACTGACAACTCCTGGGGCCCCCGGGCAATAAGGGATCATGGGGCCCCTGTGTCCTCGCCCACACTCAAACCACACCCAGAAAAAAGCCTATGAAAAGTACCAGGGGCATCCCATGGGGCCCCCTACTGACCACGGGCCCTCGGGCGGTCCCCAAGTTCCCAAATGGTCAGTCCGCCCCTGAATCCATGTGATCAACCCTGAAGGGACTAAACACACCAGAAGTTGTTGACCCTCTGAGCATATACCCAGGAAAGGTCAATAAGCACTTTCGCACAGTCCTGCTGTGTATTATATCATCATCCTTGGGACCAGACTCTTGAATCTACATAGCCCATATCCAGAGAGAAAGCCAGAAAGAGCTTCAAAGGGTATTACCATTTATTAAAATCTCAGATACAGTATATAAAACAGATGTGCAATCACATTATATAGTGCCTGACCTGTCACCTGGAACAATATCTCAAAGTTTTATATAGAGATGGCGCCTGTAACGGAACCAACCCCAGACTGCGCTTGGGTACTTCTGTTAGAGTACCGCTTCCCCGTCCGAACACCGACAACAGACACCACAGCCGACTATACAATACTATAAGACACCAGTCTTGAAGTAATCCAGAAGGTAGACTAGTTTATTTTAACACAGACACAAGATATATACACTCAAGGGACAGTCCCCCCTCCCTGCATAATGACACAGGGTGGGGCAATCTACATTTTGTAACAAGAGACACACAGGTATTCAAACTTCACACCAGCAGACAGTCCCATCAGGAGGGAGGGCTGCTGGAGACACCCCCCCCCCCACACTAAGCTAATACACATAAACACATACATCCCATAATAGTTTGCTCCCAAGCAAGACAAACAATAGAACAATGGGATACAGCCACACAACACCAAAAAAAAAACAATCCACAACCCCCACCCCACCTATTTCCTAGACATGTCTACACAATATTAGGACAAATCACCCTGTACCCCTAACAGGCACAGGGTGACTTACACATAAGAGAGATATGGGAAGCTGAGACAGGGGTCTCCTCACCTCTCCAAAGTAAGCGGGTTCCATGGGCCCCCGACCCAAAGTGACCCTCGTCACACTGCCGCTCTGATGAAGTAGTGAAGAAATATATAGAACCTATTCATAAAGTGCTGCACTAACACATAAAACTACCAAAAAAATCATAAAAGTAAAATAGACAACTGGCTAAGCCCTATATACTAGTACCCAGGGCAATGATAAATGATGAGTAAACTATAAATGATCTCATATGTAGGCCAATAAATGATAACTCAAGAAATAAAAATGAGAATGAAAATAAAAATAAAATGAAATAAACACCAGGCTGCCCTCTTGGGTGAAAATAAAAATAGTGTTAACATATGAAACCATAGTGATCAAATACAAAACAAAAAGAATCTTTCAAAATTGTGTGCAAAGAAAGGGAGGGTAAGTAGATACCCGAGCAGTGACCCTCTGATGAACCTTGGAGTCAGTGTGCGTTAGAAACAGCGGAAGTGGTGTAACTGGAAGTTCCTGTCCCTACGTGTTTTGTCACATAGTTACATAGTTAGTCTGGCTGAAAAAAGACAAAAGTCCATCCAGTTCAACCATTAAAAAAAAAAGTTATAATCCTACACCCACAGTTGATCCAGAGGAAGGCAAAAAAAACAGCAAAGCATGATCCAATTTGCTCCTGCAGGGAAAAAAATTCCTACCTGATCCCCCAAGAGGGAATCGGATATTCCCTGGATCAACTTCACCTATAAATATTAGTATCCAGTTATATTCTGCGTATTCAAAAAAGAATCCAGGCCTTTTTTAAAGCACAGTCACATCCGAAAAGTCAGCAGGAGGTGTACTATAATGTGACGAAACGCGTAGGGACAGGAACTTCCAGTTATGTCAACACATACCATGTGTTGTGGTGTTCTGCATTGTTTTTTCATCCATTGAGTTGCATTGGCAGGCCATGGTGGATGCAACATTCACAACACACATTAATAGACGTGCATAGCATTCACACACCTTTTGTAGCTCGAAGCTCCAGAATGCGCAGGGAGAAAAAAATAAATTATTTTCTATTGTGGTGGTTCACATCTCTAAAATATATGTTAAAATGACTTTTTTATACGTTAAAAAAATAAAATCTGAAGAATATGTTTAAAAAAATATATATTTTTTAAAATATTCTTCAGACTTTTTTTAACATATAAAAAAGTAATGTTAACATGTATTTTTTGCATATATTTGTAAATGCATTCCAAAAAATATAGATTTGCATTTTTAAAGACATACAGTATATTTGAAAATGTATTTTTACAAATAGTTTTCATATATTTTGTAATAAAAATGCATTTCAATATATGTAAATATATTTGGTAAGAACATTTTTAAAATATATTTCAAATATATTTTTCTTCCATGTGGGATATCTCATGTTGTTCACTGACGTCAGTGTTTTTCAAATGTGTATTAATAAAGATGAAATTTAATTTTAAATACTTGTATATTTGTGCCTATAAAATCCATGGATTTGGTTTAATTATTGTATTGGTCATAATTGGGACTTGGCACAGGTTTTTCCTAAAAAAGTACCCTTAGGTCAGGGGTCTCCAAACTTTTTAAGCAAAGGACCAGTTTACTGTCCTTCAAACTTAAGGGGGGACTGGACTGTAACCAGTGGAAGTAAAAAATGCCCCGGCATCGGTGTAATGGTTGTAATAGGAGGAATAGTGCCCCATTGTTGATATCCGTGAAAAGAATTGTACCACATGGAAGAAAAATATATTTTAAATATATTTTAAAAATACATTATTAATATATTCTTCCCCAATATATTGACATATTTCAAATATTAAAATTTTGGCTATATTCAATATATTTAAAAAAATTCTTAGATTGTAAGCTCCAAGGAGCAGGGCCCTCCTATCCCTCTTGTATTGAACTGTATTGTTGCTGTATTGTCTCCCGTTATATTGTAAAGAGCTGAGCAAACTGTTGGCGCTATATAAATCCTGTATTATAATAATAATAATAAAAATATATTTCAATATATATTTTTGAAAATATATTCAGAACACATGCTGAAATATATTTCAAAGTGTAATTTGGAATGCATTTACAAGTCTATTTAAAAATATATGTTTAAATGCATTTCTTTAGATGTTCAAAAATATCTGGAAAATATTTTAAAAATATATATTTTTAAATATACACCTTTGGAAAATATATTTTAATTTACATTTTTGGAATACATGTTAAAATATATCCGTGCAGGCCAATATATTGTAAATATATGTTGCGTGTATAATTTTTTTTCCTAAATATATTGGAATTATATTTCTCTTCCATATGGGTGCTCCATTGTTGATATCAATGAGAAGTATAATGTCCCATTGATGGTGTCAGTAGAGGAAATGGTGCTCCATCATTGATGATAGTTGCTGGAATAGTGCCCAGACAAAGGCAAGCAAAGGGCCACATTTGGCCCCCGGGCCGCACCGCCTTAGGTTCTTTTCATAACGTAGTATAAAAGATAGCCCTCTCCTACTCTATTTAAAACTAAAAGTTTTACACTTTAATATCTTCTTTTAACTCCAATGCATGCTGAGTAAATTGCACATTTTTGGCTAAATGCCCCAATTTTTGGCAACATTTCAGCAAAGCTAAAGCTCTCAAGTTGACTCCTCCCCAGGACCCATAGGTACTGGGATCCATGTACAACCATGACTTCTCTACTTACGAGGCCGACAGTCGTCCTTTTTAATGTGACTCAGCTCGCATTTTCTTTTTTTCTTTTTTTTTTTTCCAGCTTGAAGTAATTAGCACATATTGAAATTGTTTTCAGGTCTACAGAGAGCTAGCCTGTTGGTTGGTTTATCCTAAATTACATCAGAAGCTGGTACAATTGGAACCTGCACCTGATGAAATTTTGTACGTGTTTCAGCAATGTTATAGAAATGGCACTCGGCGAACGTGACCGACCTTATTTGTTACTGGTCGCTGGAGAGTTTATGCAACCTGCTGAAAATCATTCTCATTGGTGTGCCAAGATTTAAAGGTGCACTCCTGTCGAACATGAAAATGTTACATTTACAATGACTTGGTGGTCTTGGTCCACCTGCTAAGTGCACCCATTTTGCATGCTGGTATTTATCTTCTGAACATTCTTTCCCAAATGGCTCAATCCCCACCATTGACAAGGTCCTCATCAGAGCAGTGTGGTTTAAGGTTCCAAGCACTCCCCCTGCAGCCTCACTCACACATATGGAAGCATGAGGGGGAGGTTGCGCACAAAAAAAAAGTCAGATGATAGACCCACCTAGAAGCCAGGCTGCAAGGCAAACAGTTGGAAAAATATGAATTTAGTGAAATTATTATTATTATACAGGATTTCTATAGCGCCAACAGTTTGCTCAGCGCTTTACAATATAAAGGGAGATAATACAGCAACAATACAGTTCAATACAAGAGGGTTAGGAGGGCCCTGCTCCTTGGAGCTTACAATCTAAGAGGGAGGGGCTAGTGGTACAAAAGGTAGTAACTGTGGGGGGATGGACTGGTTGGAAGAGTAGAAGATGCCATTATTAGCTGAGGGCGGGATAGGCTTCCCTGAAGAGATAGGTTTTCAGAGATCACCTAAAAGTGAGCAGAGTAGGCGATAGTCGGATAGATTGGGGTAGAGAGTTCCAGAGGATGGGAGAAGCTCTGGAGAAGTCCTGGATTCCATTATTAGCTGAGGGCAGGATAGGCTTCCTTGAAGAGATAGGTTTTCAGAGATCACCTAAAAGTGAGCAGAGTAGGCGATAGTCGGATAGATTGAGGTAGAGAATTCCAGAGGATGGGAGAAGCTCTGGAGAAGTCCTGGAGATGAGCATGGGAGGAGGAGACAAAGGAGAGGACAGAGAGAGCTAGAGAGCAGGCAGTCGTGGGAGGAGCGGAGAGAGGACAGTTTGGGTGATATTTGGAGACA